CACCAAGTCTTTTCTCCTGTGGAGCTGTGCTGATGGGCTTAAACTGCCAGCCTTTTGGTTAGCAGCCTGGTGCTGTCCTATTGTACTAACAAGCTTATTTGCAGATTTACAGCAGTATCTGGTGGCGTAGTACCTAAGGCATTTGACTGCTAATCAGAAGGCTGGTTATTCAGACCCACCAGCCACTTACTCCTCAGAAGATCTGGCAATCTACTTCCATAGTAATACTGCCTCAGAAACTCAAGGAGGAGTCTCTATGAGTCAGATCCAACTTGACAGCAGTGAGTTTGTTTTTTTTTTTCAAAAATGGAAACAACCTAGATATCCATCAGTGGATGAATGGATGAATGGATAAGTAAAATGTGTTATTTGGCCATAAAACAGAGTGAAATACCAGTATATGCTCTAATGGGGATGAACCTTGAAAGGCAATACTACATAAAAGAAGCAAGTCATAAAGACATATTGTATAATTCTATTCTTTCTATTCATATGAAAGGTACAAAACGGGAAAATCTAAAGAGACATGAAGTAGGTTAGTGGTTACTTAGGGCTTAGGTGAGAGAGGATGTGGAGTGATTGCTAATGAGTATGGATCTCTTTGGCAGGGGAGATACTAAAATTAGATAGTGGTAATAGATGCATAGTTCTGTGAATGTACTGAAAAACAATGAATTTTATTTCATCATTAAATAGATGAATCGTATGAGTTGTGAGTTGTATATCAGTAATGCTATTTTAAAAAAGTGAGAGGTTCATTGTTGAAGGTTTTCAGTAGGATGAAGACTTTTGCAGTTGGTAGATACATCTTTGTAGATACTGTTACTGCTAGTGATTGTGATAGAACAGTGAGTCAGGAATAAAAGATTCAAAAATTAAAAGGCAGTAGACCTGAAGGAGAGTAGATAATTTTAGCAAGAATTGATACTTGGTAGTATAGTTTGGTGACATAAAATCTAAAGCTGAGTGCATTTATCATGGAGATCCAGAGGGAGCCTATCCTGGAAGTGGAAATGAGGAACATGAAGAACACATACTCTGTGTTCAAAGCCAAAGAGATAAGAGGTACAACTACCACAAGAGTATATATACAAGGGGAGCTCTGGTGGTGTAGTGCTTAAGGCATTTGACCAGAAGGCTGGCAGTTCAAACCCATCAGCCACTCCTCGGAAGGAAGGTTGGACAACCTACTTCCGTAGTGATACTGCCTCAGAAACCCAAGGAGGGGTCGCTATGAGTCGATATCGACTTGATGGCAGTGAGTTTATTTGTTTGTTATATATGCAAGAGAAATCAATTACCATTTGAGAAGAGCCCACAGGGGAAGTAGGTTAATTAGGGAAGAGCGTATGTTATCATATAATATCTTGTTGTTGTTATATACTGTCCAGTTGATTCTGTCTAATATCAACCCTATACTAGGGTATAACTGCCTTGTAAGGTTTCCAAGGCATTGATCTTTATGGGAACAGATTGCCAGGTCTTATTTCTTGTAGAGCAGCTCGTAGATTTGAACCACCAACCTTTTGGCTAGCAGCTGAATGCTTATCCAATTGTGTCACCAATGCAGCTTTTTATAGACTTTCATATTGTTCATAAGGAGCCCTAGTGGCACAGATGGGTAAGTGCTCAGTTGCTAATTGAAAGATTGGCAGTTGGAACCTACCCACCAACTCTGTGGCAGGAAGACCTGCTTATCTGCTTCCATAAAGATTACAGCAGAGAAAACCTTGTTGGGGGCAGTTCTACCCTGTCTCATGGGATTGCTACGAGTCTAAATAGACTGTATAACCTCTAACAACAGCATATTGCTCATAAGACATTTTTGAAGTACGTAAGATAACTTTGACAACACCTTAAAAGTTTTCTAACTGGGCTTTCTGTTGTTACCTTTTTCACTAATTGTACATGTCTTGAAGCTTGAGTCTGTTTTATGATGATTACTTGATCAAATTAGTGTTCATGTTCTCCTTTTTAATCTACTCCACATTGCTAGTGTACAAGGTTTTGTAATTGGTCCCTTCTGATTTTACTGACTGTTGCCTTGTGTTAGAATAAGGGATGTAGATACTTGCCAGGTTATATTTCTAGTATTTAGGAAATTTTTACCTGAATACGCTGAGGCTTCCCAGAAGCTATGAGGGAATTGTTAATTAGTTGTAGTACTATAATGGCTGTTATTTAGCGACATGAAAATAGGAAGAATGTGTTCTTATCTACATTTATTCATTTATCCTTCTAAGTGTTCTAAGTTAATCTGTATGCTGAGCAAATAATCTGAGAAGCTTGACTACATGAAGAAATACATGGCATCAGGATTGGAGGAAGACTTGTTAATAATTTTTAACATGCAGATGACACAATCTTGCTTGCTGAAAATGAAGCTGAATTGAAGCACTTACTGATGAAGATTAAAGACTGTAGCCTTCAGTATGGATTACACCTCACCGTAAAGAAAACAAAAATCCTCACAACTGGACTAATTTAGCAACATCATGATAAATGGAGAAAAGGTTAAAGTTGTCAAGGATTTTGTGGTAGTTACGTTTGTGTGTCAACTTGGCTGGGCCTGGTTGAGTGGTTGGGCAGCTGGCTATAGTATTCACCATGATGAGACTAGTAATCAACTCCATGGTGGAATCTACAGTGAGCAGCTGAGTAGCTGCTTTAGGGATGTGGTCTGCTTCCTGTATATAAGGAAAAGTCTTGGGGAATGGTCTCTAGCTTATGGCATGCTTGAACCCTCCATGTTGCTGAGTCGTTTAGCAGCCTGCCGTGCTCTGCCAATCTTGGGACTTTGAATGGACTTGAATTAATGGCCTGCCGTGTGGTTTGGTAACATCAGGACTGTGCCTTATTACTTGTCAACCTTGGGCTTGTCAGTCTCAGCAGCCAGCAGCTGTCTGAGTGAGGAAATGCCCTAGCTTCAGTGCACCAGGAGCAGGAGGCAGAGCTGAAGCCAAGGTTGAGGGGCTTTCACTCAGCACCTAGAGCCTGGTACTTTGAACTTGGACTTAAAGCTTCCAGATTGTGAGAGAAAACTCCTGTTTGTTCAAGCCATCCCATTTGTGGTATATATTCTTGATAGAGTAGCACTAGGTGACCAGAACAGATTTCATTTTACTTGGATCTACAATCAATGCCCATGGAAGCAGCGGTGAAGAAATCGAACAGCATATTACATTGGGCAAAATTGCTGCAAAAGACCTTTATAAAGTGTTAAAAAGCAAAGGTATCACTTTGAGCGCTAAGGTGTGCCTGATCTGAGCCATGGTATTTTCCGTTGCCTCATATGCATGGAGGTATATGGATAATGAATAAAGAACTAGACAATGAATAAGGAAGACAGAGTAGAATTGATGCCTTTGAATTATGATGTTGGTGAAGAATATTGAATATACCATGGTCTTCTGTTAGAGTGATCAAATTTGTCTTGGAAGAAGTATAGCCAGAATGCCCCTTAGTAGCGAGGATGGAGTGACTTTGTCTCCTATGCTTTGGAAATGTTATCAGGGGGGACCAGTCTCTGAAGAACGATATCATGCTTGGTAAAGTAGAGGGTCAGGGAAAAAGGGGAGGACCCTTAACAAGATATATTGCCACAGTGACTGCAATAGTGGGTCCAAACAACTGTGAGGATAACACAGGACAAGATAGTGTTTTGTTATACATAGGGTCACTTTGTGTCAGAACTGACTCGACTGTACTCAGCAAAAAGAAGTCTTTGAACAAGCACAGATAGCCTCATTCATGACTTGTTCAATTTAACACCTTTTTTTAAAAAACACTAAGGTCAAGCAGAAAACAGTACAGAAATATATTGATTATTAAGGAATAGACTGCTTATTTTGAAAAATCAGTCCCCAGACATAGCACACTATTTCTTTTTAGCAAGTAATTGGTGTGTTGTTAATTATTCATAAAACCCATTGCCTTCAAGATAATTCCTACTCATAGTAACCCTGGAGGACAGAGTAGAACTGCTCTGTAGGTTTTCCATGGCTGTAAATCTTCACAGGATACCACATCTTTCTCCCAGAGCTGCTGGTGGATTTGAACTGCTGACATTTTGGTTAGAAGCTGAAATTTTTTCCAAAAATTTTTTGAGAATCTGATACCTAAATCAATGAATCCGGAGATGTGAAATAGTATACTTAAAAATCATTCAGTAAATGTCTATACTTCTCTATTAGTGAATTTTGGCTATTCTAATACAAGATTTGTAAGAAATGCAGACTTGGCAATTGGGTCATTGTTGTAAAACTGTTTAATTTTCTGATATTATTGGCCATGAAGTTAATTCAGCTGTCAAACAATGTAAGCTGAATACTGAAAATCTTTGATTTATAAGAATCATGCATAAAAATACAAAGGGAATAAATTTATTAGCATCTTTCATGTTTTAGGTATGGGTGATATTAAAAGTGATCATATGGTGCTATTGTGATGTTTATTTATTGTTCAGTAAAGATGCTGGTCATTGGATCAGTACTTACTGACTGAGTCGTTGCCCTGGTACCAAACGTCCATTTGGTGTTTTATTATATAATTTTATTTTAGCATTAAGTCTTCATGGTAGATATAATTTTCTCCATTTTGCAAATGAAAATCCTAACACTTGAGGAGGTTAAGTAACTTAGATCACATAGCTAATTCGTGCAGCCAGGATTCAAATGTAACTCTTTCTGGCCCTACATTTCTACTGTAATACTGGCTTTTCAAACTTAAAACCCAGCTCTCAACTCTGTGAAGAATTGAATTCACAGTAATTTATTAGTTGTTTCCAAGAACCTATCGTTCTGCTAATTTGGAATTTTCTGAAAAATAAGCCCATCAGCTGCTCCATAGAAGAAAGACCAGGCAATCTACTTCTGTAAAGATTTACCACCTTGGAAACCCAAAAGGGGTCGGTCACTATGAGTTGAAATGGACTCAGGTTTTTTTTTTTTTTTTTTTTTAAATCAATACTTACTACACTTTTTTCTTTCTTATATTATTAGGACGTCTTGCATGGCTGGTATACTTAGTTGGGACGGTTGTAGGAGGAAGGTTAACATACATCAGTACGGATGAGCATGATACTATGGATGGAGAATTATCTTGTCGGTAAGTAATGGCCATATAATTTACAGAAATTGATTATGCACTTAAAACATTTAGTTATTGAGCTAGTATTATGAACTAACATATTTTTACTTGGACTTTTGAAAAAAGTAGTATTTTCCTTTTTACTGATGAGAAACTGAAGGCTTAGAAGTTAAGTGATTTGTAAAAGGTCAAATTTCTAGTAAGTAGTAACATTTTTTAAACGTTACGCAAGTTTTTTAAACTTCATGCAATATGAATTTAAGTTTTTCGTTTCTTAGGGACCGACATAACATGCAAAGTTGATGTGTATTGGGATAATGTAATCTGATCAAAATTAATGAATAGTCAGTTACACAGTCTTTGACTGTTGACTACATTTTTTCATCTCATTACCATAACCTTAGTAAGAAGTAAGGAGCTCTGCTAGTGCAGTGGTTAAAGCATTCAGCTGCTAACCAAAAAGTCAGAAGTTCAAACCTACCAGCTGCTCCACGGGAGAAAGATGAGGCACTCTGCATCTGTAAAAATTTACAGCTTTGGAAATCCTGTGGGGCATTTCTATTCTGTCCTGTAGGTTCACTTTGAGTCAGAATTAACTTGATGGCAGCGGGTTTGGTTTTGGGTTAGTAAGAAGTGACTGACTTACTCCCTTCTGTTTCTATTCTAAACTGACAAAAATTCTTAAATATGAATGACTTGAGTGAGTTGGTTTCCCATATATGTATTTTATTTTTAATAACATCTTTATTTACTATGAACTAATACATATTTTTATTGGAGATTTAAAAAATTTAACTGAAAAGAATATTCATATTAATCTGGAGATAACCACCTTTATCATCTTGGCAAAGACTTTTGACTCTTTTAAATTAATGTATGTGGATGTATGTGCCCCAAAAATAAAGCCACTGTCATCCAGTCAGTTCTGACTCATACCGACCCTATAGGATTTATGTACTTCATTACTGTTTTTTAACCTTTTAAAACAAAATTTAAGTTACAGTATGATATTGTTTTATAAACTAAAAGTAATAATAGTAATTATATCTCATTGTAACCAAAAAAACCAAACTCATTGCTGTCAAGTTGGATCCAACTCATAATGACCGCTTCCTTGGGTTTCTGAGGCCGTGTCTCCACAGAAGTAGACTGCCCAGTTTTCCTTTTGAGGAGTGGCTGGTGGGTTTGAACCGCCAGTCGTCTGGTTAGCAATCACATGCCTTAGGCAGTACGCCACCTAATATCTCCTAATAGAGCTCCTAATATCTCATTTTTGGCTCTTATAAAAATTGAATGAGCTAATACAAAAATAACAACATTGCCTAACAAATAATGTGCAATAAATTACCAAAATCAATTTTTTTAAGAAAATCAAACACAATCTTAGAAACATTTTACTTAGATACTAGATGTATTAGCTGTACTACAATTTAGAAGCCCTGGTTGTGCAGTGGTTTAAGCACTTAGTTGCTAACTGAAACATTGGCAGTTCAAACCCACCAGTTGCTCTCTGGAAAAAGATGTGTCAGTCTGCTTCCATGAAGATTTACAGCCTTGGAAACCACATGAAGCAGTTCTGCCCTGTTCTGTAGAATCACTATGAGTTGGAATTGACTCAATGGCAGTGGGTTTGGTGGGTTTGGTACCAGAATTTATTTAAGCAAACCCTTAGTTTTGGAATTACAGGGTTTTTTCTCATTTATTTTTCTTATTATAAATTGCTTTTAGGTGAAATATCCTTGTATATCTTTATGTTGATTTAAATAATTTCATGAGAGTTAAAACCTGTAAGTTGAATAACTGATTGATTTTAAAGACTTCAGTACAGATTACCAAATGACCCTCTGGAATGGTTGTACCAGTTTATCCTCCCAACCCAAAGGCTATGTGAGTGATCATTTTTCTGTAGCAAACACTAGATAAAAGAATTCTTATCTTTGCTAGTTTATAGATAACAAAAGCTTTTGTTTTCATTTGGTTGCTAGTGATGTCAAACATTCTTTCTTCCCCTCCTTTTGCCATTTGTGTTTCCTCTTTGTAATTCTCATATATATTTATTGTATCATTTACCTGATTTTCTTTTGTGATTATCCTTTCTAACTTTGGAGCTCAGATTATATCAAAGATCTTAATATTTTGCTTTCATTTTGAACAGATTTTCTACTTATTTTTGTTACAAGTATCTTTACTGGCTTTAAATATTTATACAGATCGGTTCATTGTTTTCCTTCATACATTCTCTGTTGTTCATTCTTCGAAAGAGTTTTCACTCCTAGTTAATAAACATATCCACTTTTATTTTCTCCTCGTTCATTTATGATTTGACCCCATAATGTTTATTTTTTTAGTGTATCTGAAATTGATTTTATTGTATATACTTTTTCCAAAGTACTAACCACTTACTGTTAATACCTACTGATTTGAAATGGTACCTGTATCCTATGTTAAATTCTTGGATCTTTTTCTGGGCTTTTTATCTTTTTCCATTGATCTTAGAAGTCTATTCTTACACCTCACCACCCTTTCAAAATCATTATAAATAGTTGTGGTAGTCTCCCTCATTTTTATTCTTAAATATATTCCTAAGTATTTAATAACTATTTTATAATTTTGAATGGAAAACTTCCTTTCATTCCATGTACTGTTCAACCTATAATCTTTCTTTTCAATGAAATTAAAATATGAATGGAACATAAATCTTTTTAGTTTTTCTAGGATTTATTATTTCTAATATCAACTTAAATCACTTAAAAACATGAATAATAAGTATTTGAGAGCCATCTCTTTGATTAATTTTAAACTAACTGTACAATTTATCTTTGTACTATCTCTTAATATAACATTACATATTTAGTATAATGAAAATAAAGTATACTTTTATCTATAGTTAGTTTGGTATTTTTAAAGTTTTCATCATCAGACAGGGAAATAATAAACTCACATTATTTTCCTGAGAAAATATAGGAAATAAAAAAAGGAAGTATATATTTCCTAAGCAGACATTTCATTTTTTTCTTTAAGCAGCAAACTTATTTAACTTTAAATAAAATTTATTTTGTGTTTTAGCCTGCATTCTGTGCAAAACAGAGCCTGAAGTGAATCTTATATGCTAATGCTTTATTGAGGGGGAGATTTTTTAGTAAAGAAAGAATGAAAGAAAAGAAGTAATAAGTGACAGAATAAGATAAAACAAATAAACGGTAGTGTATTACCAAGAAAACAACTGGTTGTTCACTTTCACACGAGTTTTCTGCAGATGTCACAAGGGTCCTCTGTGCCTCAACATTCCATGTTAGGGGACTAAGAGCAAGCAGTTTATCTGTTGGCTTCCTTCTGTGTTCCATTTCTTACTGGTTGAAGTCTACACCATGAGGTGTTTAACTCGTCTACACTTTTTAGTTGTGTTTCTTGGCTTCATTGAGTAGTTGTTGGGGAAGTCAAGAGTTTCCGTTGGTCCTATTGAGTTGGACCTAAGGGCTGGCACTGTGGCAGGCCTCTCTGCCATGAGTAAGGGTTTATAGTCACAGGAACTAGATGAGTGCTTACTGAGACTATCGGGCAGATGACTGAGGCCAGAAGTGGGGTGGGAGGTATTGATGGTATTGGTGAGTGTGGGCCATGCAGATTTGAGGTAGGTGTAAGTACACTAATACTTACATATTTTGTCTAGAAACAACAGAAAATATGTATTTAAAAATACTGAGATTCAAAAGTAAGAATGATGTTTTATATGAAGTTATAAAATATAAATTTCATATGAAAAAGTTCCAAGTAACTGGACAGTAATACTGTTGCCTTCTCTGTGTTAAGTGATACCTGTTCAACTCCTGAGAGAATGTAACCAAATTAGAAGATTGCCACACTCCTGTCAAAAATATGTCTCATTTTAGTGGGAAAAGGTTAATAATACATGTAAAAGCTCCTAATATTATGATAAGGAGCTCTAGTGGCACAGTGCCTAGGGCATTTGACTGTTAACCAGAAGGCTGGTGGTTCAAACCCACCAGTCACTCCGCAGAAGGAATGTTGAGCAATCTACTTCCGTGAAGATTTACTGCCTTGGAAACCCAATGGCTGTTGCTATGAGTTAGAACCATTTCAATGGCATTGAGGGTTTTTTTTGAGTTTTCAACCCAGTAGTGCTAGGAGAGTGCTTCCTTCTACTCAGCTCCACTATTTTACTTGGTTTTACCTGTTCATGTCCCAGTCATCCCTCATAATTCATTGAAGACATTGGCAACTAGCTCACACTGTTTTGGTCTCTCTCCCAAAGCCTACTATCGTATCAGTGAATTTAACATCTTTTCCAATCTATGTTAGATAATGTTATTCTCTTTTTCTCTATTCATAAGTCTCTAGTGCCTTCTTGCCACACTTGAGAGACAAAATCCAAAGTCCTTGCCATGACCCAAAGAAGTGTTTGCTACTTTTGTGATTTCATTGTATACCCTTTCTTATTCAACTCAAACCACACTGCCCTCACTATTCTTACTTCTTAAAATTTGTGTTAAAATGTTTATAATGTAAAAGTTGCCATGTAAGCCATCTTTAAGTGTATAGTTCAGTGCCATTAATTATATTCACAGTGCTGTGTAACATCACCACTATTTATTTCTAAAATTTTTCCTCACCCCAAATAGAAACTCCATACCCATTAAGCAATAACTTTCCATCTCTTCCCCTCCCAGATCCTAGTAACCACTAATCTACTTTCTGTGTCTATACATTTGTCTATTTTAGATATTTTCTATAAGTGGAATCGTACAGTCTGTGATTTGTCCTTCTGTGTGTGGCTTATTTCATTTAGCACAATGATTTCAAGGTTCATCTATGTCATAGCATGTATCAAAACTTCATTTCTCTTTTTGGCTTATTAATAGTCAACAATATGAATATACTGTATTTATTTAGCCATTCATCTGTTGATGGCTGTTGTTGTTGTTAGGTGCCATTGAGTCAGCTCCAACTCATAGTGACCCTTTGTACAGCCTGGTCATGCACCATCCCAACAATCCTTG